TAAGATGTCTTCGTTTAAGACGTATGCATTTTCTTGGATAGAAAACGTCTAGTAGTCGTCTTTAATAATGCGTCTTTATCACGATTTATTTTAAACGACTATAGACATCTAGAATGCGTCTTGTGTTTACTGAGATATATGTTGTGAGAATGTCTTTTGTATTGTGAAAGTTCTCAGGTAAGCTATAGAGCAACTAGTACAATTGGTGGCAAATTTGAACATTGTCGAATCTTTACAAAATCAATTTATAGGGACTGTATGACTCAAATCAAGATTGTTCAGTTAAGGAAGAAGCCCACAATAAAATCGTGTTTAAATTGCGTTTGTGTTTAAATAGCTAATAAGATGTGATTCCATACATATTAAACAGGGCCGACGACACGGGTTTTGAAGTGGGGGGGGGGAAGTCCTCTACATCAAAATTTTTTTTTTTTTTAAAAATAAGCCCTCTAGAAAAAAAGTGGGGGATTTTTTTTAAAAATTAATATTTAATAATTAATACTTACCTAAATTTACAAAAACCTTTTAATTTGCATGTTACACTGTGGAAAAGTCTTACCAATTCTAGTTTTATTCTGCAAACTTGTCAAGGGTTAAATACTTATTCTGCGAGTACTTATGAGTAAAATTTACCTTTTTAAGAATACCAAAAGTAATGGTTGAGTGAAACAGACGATTGATGAGAAAGAAAATATTCTTTCAAGAGTTCCAAAAAAAGACACTTTGATTGTAATACATCATGTTAAACCCATCACTTCTAAGATTTTTAAAATGTCAAAACCAAAACCAACATCTTTTTTTTCCAATTTAAAGATAATTATACAAAAAATATATCTTACTCTTCACCTTTACCATAGTGGATTTTCTGATGCAAGCAGTAGCATCAAAAGTTCTATAATTTCTTGATGGCAAGTGGATAAACTATCTACGACCACAGCATTTTACTTTTGATTAAGCACTGTCTTAACTAATTTTTTGAAAGTTAACAAATACTTTTATTTTTGACTCTTGCTTTGCTAAAAATCTAAAAAAATTGTTTTTTGAAAAAAATCACTTTTTCTTATTAAGTTAAATTAAGAACAATCAGTAAATAATATCTCCGAAAAAGAAGCACCACCTAAAATGTTCAAAGAGAAGCACCACTAATAATGTTTAGAAAGAAGCACCGCTTAAAATATTTACATTTTTTTCCTCAACTATAATTATTAAGTCATTTTTAGTACCATGACCGGATGAAAGTTTAAAGCAAAGAGAATATTGAAAATACTCTTTTTGCTTCAAACTTTTACAAATACATTTTTTGTTCCTTGTATTCTGTATTTATGCCTTCCAGTTAAGACATTTCCGTTACTTGTTCTTTTTTAGAATTCATGGATGCATCAGAAGAACAAGCTTTATCAATTAGAGATTGAGATACATTGTCCTCTGTCAATTGATACACCTACCGTAATGAAGAGAAGATTTAAACCTCTTTCTGATAAAATATTAAGAATGAGTTCATGTATCATGGATAATACATGTGTCATGCATACTACTTGTCACAGCTTCATTACTCCGAATAAATGTATCTTTTCCTATTTTATATTGAGATTCAATTTCTTTTTCAAATGATCTTGTAATAACGACTGTTCTTAAAAGCTAAATGGTTTTTAAACATTCATCTTTTTTACGGTTTACTTTTGTTTTTTAATCTTTTCAAAAACTATTTAAAAAACAGGAAACTGAAATTGACAAGCTTCATTGTTTTATGGCTGAATTTTTTTTTTTAGCTTTCAAAACTTAAACTACTTTCTCTTTTGATTGACATCAGATTTGTTTTGCACTTTAAAAAGCTCTTTTTTTTAAAAAAAATATTTAGACTTTTTTCGGGTTTTTTTTTCGGTTTTATGATTTGCTGTATTTCTACTCAATTTATCTTTCGAAAAAACAAACAGTGCAACTTTTAAAAATTTATACGTGTTATATGCTTAGTTTCCAATAGTAGCAAAAATGTTCTACTGCGTTTGTGCGATTTTCTTTTACTTAGTAGTAAAAATGTTCTAAGCGCTTGTGCGATTTTTGACAAGTACACAAGTCAATAAACCTTTGTAACAAGAAAAATGATTACTAATTTTAAATTACTTTTACTTCATATTTATTTTGATTTCATCAGGTCTTGTTTTTTGTGTTAAAGCAGTTACCCTCAAAATCGGAAAGATACCGTTTTTATTTCATTTTTGCATTAAGTAAATTTTTTTATTTGAAGAACGTAGTGTTTTCTTCTGTTTTCTGTTTTCTGAGTGATTTTTAAATAATGTCAAGAAAGTGTAAAAACAATCCTGACAATTTTTCTCATATTTGTGGCGACACAACATTTAAAACTCACGAAGGAATTTGACATCATTGATAGCTATGTTAAAAGAACAGATTACTTATATTTTTAACAGACATAGAAATTATTAAAACCAATAAAAACAATACAAGTATTTTAATTTGACAATCGAGATAAAGAGCTAAAAAAAATTTTTTTTTCAAGATGATCAGCTGGTATCAGAGGCGATGTTAAGATGTGCGAGGCAAATGCAAACATGGAAATGCGAGGTCTCTTTCATATACGTTCATATTATATCTACTTTTTTCTTTACTTTTCGAACTTCGAGAAAAAGTAGTTTACAACTTTCACGCAAACTTATCAGTTAAATCTGAATAGCCCGAGGCTCGACTGAGTTGATTTTCAATAAAAAAAATTAATAAACCAGAGATACTGACTGATTTTAGAAAGTAACTAGATTTTTATGAGCTTCAACTTGGTAAATGATCTTACTGCAATTGCTACCAAAATTGGTATAGTAAGTAAAAATCGTAATGCAATAAAAAAATTGGTAAAAAAATTTACGTAAAAAAAGTAACGTATTGCAAAATTTCAAATGCAGTCAATGATTTTTATTCAAAACTTTTATTTAATTTTTTTTTTCTTTCTGAAAAGTATTCCGTTGAAGCGTCTAAATAGCAAAGCCCTAGACAAAGGTTGCCTAAAAAATGTAACAATGTCTAAAACATAGACATTATTACATTTTGTAATAATATATAAGGCGTAATGATTGTCTTGGGTCTAGAGAGCAGCATTTAGTTGTTGTTCAAAAATAAGTTTATAAGCTATACTATTAAATGAAGTTTCTTCATAAAGAGTCTTATAAAACTGTTAAATTTATCATCGATATAGCAAAAATAACTAGAAAGTATGTGGAAATTTAAAGATGATTCCCCTAAGTTTAGGGATAACTAAGTTAACTATTGGTTAATTCGTATATACAAAATACTGTTGTTTTATTTGTGAGTGGGATAGTAGAGACCGAAAAAATGTTAAGAAAGACCGACTTAAAAAGCAATCTTTTCCTCCAAGACAAAAAACATTAAAAATCCTTCATCGGTACAGCCTTATGATTTTCTGTTGTTTTTTTTATATGTGAACTTTTTTTTTATATGTGTAAAGGTACATACATTTTGGGTTCATGAAAAAAAATTCGTGAAAGCTATGGATAGAAGTAATAATGCTTTTTATATTTGAAAGAAAATTTTCTTAAATTAAAATATGAAAATAAAAATTAAAAAATTCAGTTGATGAAAGGTTTGAACAAAGGTGATATATTTAAAGTAAAGCTTATTGGTTTGAAAAAATTGGTTGGAAACCTTTTATAAAAACAACTTCCAATTTTCTTGGAAATTACCCATCAAGTGACAATTAAAGTATTGTCGCGGAGCTACTATCAACTTATGAAACTTTAAGGATATAAGATGTTGTTAAAAAATACATTTTTTTATTGACTCCACGTATGCTAGCGGATTACTGTTGGAAATTACAACGACACGTCTCTGAAGCAAAATATAAACGGAAATCATAAAACATTTTGTATTAATGTTGCAATATAATTGAATAACTTCTTTTTGTTGATAAAAACCTGAAATTTCTAAAACTACTAAAATATCAGCATAAAAACTACTTTTCAACTAACTATTCAATAAAATTAGAGATCTTGAAAAACAAACAGTTGTTTGTATTTCAAACATTTTCTTATCCTTATCCTTATCTATGTTCTAAACAAAACTAGTATAGTAAAGACAAAATTTCATGTTATATGCAAAAAGTTTTTTTTTTTTTGCTGACTAGTGTAATTGTTGCAGAAATTGATTTCTTGCTATTTCTTCGACAATTGATTTACAGCATAAGTTTACTAATCGACGTTACAAAAATTAAAGTTTTTGTTAGTTTTAGTGTATTAGCAAAAGCAAACATGAAGAACATGCTTACTAATTTAGTTAAGACTTTTTTTTTCAACTTTCTCTCTGAAATTTTTAAGTTGCTTTTACTGGTTCAACTTGTTTGTATAAGTTTAAGAAAACTAACTATAAATAATAAATAACGTAACTTGTTAGTTATAATATTGTCGTTCTGGTTAAAACAACTTGGATTTTTCAAATGAAGTTTTCCTCTAGGCTAAAAAACTAGAAAATATTTACACAGACTCACAAAAATATTCACTGAATCACGTTTTGCATTTCGGTAATCAGTTGTTACCCACATGGTGCAATCTGTACCTCACGCACCCTTTGATGCACTTTTGATGACCTGTATCATCAAAAGGGGGTGTCAAAATGTGTGTCGAAAGTATTGCATTTGGTTGATAAGGAACTAACAATTTTAAATGCAAATTTTGTTAAGTTTTTAATGTTTTCTTTGCAGTTTATGGAAAAAAAGCAATGGAGCATAGAATGTAATAAATAATAGATATGAACATGTGTATAATAGTTATGAAAAAAGATGGTAGCTTTTCTTTGTTTTATAGACACAGAAATATCATTATTTTGATAAAAGTATTTCTTTATTAACAACGAATTAAAATAGTTCAAAATATTATTGATTGATCAGCTTAACAACTTAATTTGTTTAAATAAAAAAAGTTTCAATTTTGCTTTTAAAAATACATGGAAATACATACATCGTAAATATGCAACATTTCCAAATGTTGGTGCAATTCCTTCTTCAAACAACTTTGCAAGAACCATGTCAAAAGAGACTATAAGTTATCGACATTATTTTTGCTACAGTACAAACAATCACGAGTTAATATTAAACATTTTTTCTTCTTGTAACTTTTGGCTGTTTTTGCTTTTTTATATTCACGTCTGCGGTTTTTATAAAAAAAACGCAAACTCTTTCAATAGGGCATTTCCGTAAATTAAAGTGTCTTTAATATTATTTTTAACATTAAAAATTTAATTTTTATTAAGCAGATGCACTTTTACAAACAAAATCTGAAGGTAAAAAGGTTTTGTATAGATTAGATTTTTTTAAATATTTTTTTTAATTTTTTTTTAATTTTTTTATTCTGCAAAATAATTGTATCTTAATTCAAAGCAGAAATTTATGAAAACATCTTTACGGTTGTAAAGTTTTTTTATAAAAGAGCAATACCGTCTAATAATAATAATATACTTATATAAAACAAGTTATTAGGTATTACCCACACTGCATTTCAAATTACAATTATTATCATCGCATGTTAGCAAAACATTTTTCTTCTTTTCAGCTGTGTAATTAATTTCAAAACATATTGTAAAGTATGTCTGGTCTTGTAATCAAGTTAGCAGTTATTGGAGGAAAGAATTCTGGAAAGTCAGGTTCAAATTTTTTATTATTTAATTTAGAACATTTAAAAAATATTTTTATGATTTGATTTAACCTACTTTAAAAGAAATTTAAAAAATTCCATTTAAAGTCTTCAAACAGAGTTTTAGAGAGAAAATTTTAGTTTGACAATTTTAAACAGAATTTTATAGAGATAATGTCAAGAACATATATTAGTAAAAATATCATGTTATAGATTTATTGGATATTATAGAAAGGTAGAAAATATTACAGGTTTTAATTTAGCGCTCGCTGTGAGATTTCTAACACGCAGATTTATTGGAGAATACGATTCTAATTCAGGTAACTTATTATTTTAGTTTTTATTTACAACACTTGTTTAAAGCAATTCACTTGTAACAAAACTGTTTACACACTTGTTTAAGACAATGTTTTTTTTTCTTACATTTAGTCAAGTATTTATTTTTAAATCAGTATTTAAATATAAATAATTATCATTTACTTGTGTTACTTGTAAACTTATATTAGTCAAATTTTTTTTTAAATACATTAAGAAAAATACGAAAATTTAGTAAAAAATATTTTTCTTCAAGTTTTATAAATTATAAAACACAAAAACTTATAAAAATAACTTTTTTAGACGTTTGCATCAAACGCAACATAAAATTGGCAGGGATATCTGTTGAATTGCATATAAAGGATACCGCGGGTTCTGTAAGTATTTCTATACTTCCGTTTTTATTTGTTTCCTTTTACACAGGAAATGTTTATCAACAGTTTAATTGTTAACATTTTTGGTAGTTTTTTCAAATATTTTGCTACTCTAAAGAGTGATACATACTGTTTTATTGTTTATTATTGTTGAGGTGTTGGGTGTCTAACTATCCTCATTAAGGCGGTATTATAATAAAAGTTAATGGGTAAGAAATTTTTCAAATATGTTAAAAACCTGTGTTTAGACAGCCTCGGTTAGCAGCCATCCTGCCCTTTTTTTACAGCACTAAAATATAAAACTAAGCTATAATGTATGACTGGGTTAAACTTTTTAATATACATGTGTATATGCGCATTAGCACACAATTAAAATAAAATGCGGTACTACAAACAAATTCATGTAACCTAGTACAATCTGCAGCTTATCCAATTGCTTTTTAGGGTTAGTTTTTTTTAGACAAAAGAAAAGAGATAATAACTTTGACTTAAAATGTTCCAATGTCTTGAGACGCTTAGTTGAGTAAAGGCTATGTCTTAATAAAAATCCTCATTCTGGGAAAATGTTAAACTTCATTCAGCTATTGCCTTGTAAAAAATCTTTAAGACAAAGATTTGACCAGTAAGTTTTTGTTGATTAGTCTTCCTTTTTTCTTCATAATAGGCTTGCGTAGATATACACCAGTGTTATATTCTTTACTGCCTAGAATAATGAACACTAAAATTTTTTGATAATCAAACCAAACTCATTTTTACATTTTTACGTGCTAATCAAACCAAACTCATTTTTACGAGTTTGGTTTGATTAGCACGAGTTAGGCAACTTTACATCTATTGCTTAGAGTATCAAACAGTATCAATGATTGAATAAACAGGGCCAAAGACACCAAGGAGGGCAAGGGGCACGTGTCCCCACTTTTTTAATAAAAGACCTCTTTTTTTTCTTTTTTTAGAAAATTCAAGATATAGGAGATTTTTTTAGAAATTGACAATTGTGTCTCTCCACTTTTAAACCCGTATCGTCGCCCCTGGTAAAGTTCTTTATTTATTAAAAACATGAAAATTTTACTCTAATTTTAAACTTACCTTTAATTCAATTTTTGTTTCTGACTCTAGCTTGTTCTTAGTTCTTCTCTTTTACTGTTATATGTGGTGAATAACGTGCTATAGTTTCACTAAAACTTTTATCTTGTATTTTTTCTACATCATATTCTCTTTATTATCTTACTTTTTAATTCTATCTTATGAATTGATAATCATTGCGGTAGTGGTGTAGTGGTGTAGTGGTGTAGTGGTAGAGCGCTCGCCTCATAAGCAAGAAGCTCAGAGTTAAATCCCCTCAACGTCCCTTGCAGTACCGCGCTCAAATTGCTTCTCTGCACAGTGGCCTTGTTTGTTAAGTTTCGTGTTTCGGAGTTATAGAGTTGAGAGAGGGTTGTAACCACAACTAGAGTAGCCTCCTCGACTGGTCTTAGGGAGGTGATTTCAAATAAAGTAAAATAGAAAATCATGATGTCGTTTGTCTCTCTGCTGAAAATTGCACCTCTTTTATAATCTCCTAAATTCATAAAAGAGATTATAAAGGATATTCTTTCAAGGATACTCTTTCTAGCTTATTTTTGCTATTTATTACTGTTTAACGTACCAATTTTTGCTATTTATTACTGTTTAACGTACCAATATTTGCTATTTATTACTGTTTAACGTACCAATTTTTGCTATTTATTACTGTTTAACGTACCAATTTTTTTTTCTTAATGTTTTAAAAATCTTCTGACTTTATTATGGAAATCATTTTGATCATTTTTCAACTCAGTTTATTTTTTAATTGTTTATACATAAATCATAAAAAATCTATTAAAAAAATCTATTTAAAAAAGATACTGCCTGACGTTTAAGTCTATAAAAAATGCTACCTGAATATTCATGTTGAGGGCGAGTTTTCTGTTTCTTTGCCTATTTTTCTGCTGAAATTGAATTTCATTCTTAAAAGAAATGAACAAAAATTATTTAAAAAAACGCTATAGCAAGAAGAAGACAGTAGAGTCTTGTCACCAAGCTCCGCAATTGTCGAAATATACAAAATACACAATGATAACATTTTACAACAATTTTGATAAAATAAAATGTAAAAACATAAATAAATAATATTATCTGATTTTTAAATAAATTTTCAAACTATTTTTGATTCTTTTAATTTGCATTTTTTCTTTTTTACAGTTTATTACTGTTTAAAAAGAAATTTCAAATAAATTAAAGACTCTTTACATTGTACTTAATAAATATTGCATGTTTTAAAAAGTTTCCTATTATTGAATAGAATTTTGGTAATGAAACAACGCACCCTTTCATTAATAAAAAACATAAATCAAGTCAGGGCTAATTTTATTGTGATAAGGGTCATGACTATGGTCAGATTTAAGGTCCGAATAGGGCTTAAATCTGACCATTTAAGGGTAAGGTAAGGTTAAGACAACGGTGAACTTTAATCCAGACTCTGATCTTCAAATAAACGAAGAAATCTCTTGAGACATGTTTATTAAAGATGTATTAACCCATGTTCAGACGTGTTTGTAACTAGCACAAAAAAGCAAATAATTTTTTGCTGCTTAACTGAAGAATAACCAGAATTATTTTTGTTAACAAAGTTCAGAAATTGTTTCCACAAAAAAAGTTTACGATCCCAAACCAATCAAAAAAACTGTTCTGAATAAGTTTTTGGAACAAAGAACATTTTCTGAAAATTGGAAAAGGTATGTTATAGATGTACCTAAGCTTCAGCTTCGGCTTTGAGCGAAGCCAGGATAAGACGAATCTTCTCTAAACTAAAGGTAATTAAAAAAAATTAAATATAAAAATAATTAAAAATAATATTATTGTATAATATTATAATGTTATTTTTTGGGATTTCAAGTCAACAATAAACTTCTATGTTATTTATAAATTTAAATTTTTAATTTTAATAATTTAAAGAGATTCATTGCAATGGTATTATGCAGCGTTTAAAAAAGCATAAGTTAAACGCTCAACGTTTTTCGTAAAGATTTAATATATATATATATATATATATATATATATATATATATATATATATATATATATATATATATATATATATATATATATATATATATATATATATATATATATATATATATATATATATATATATATATATATATATATATATATATATATATATATATATATACTTGATATCCACGAATAGATTTATGCATTGTTAATTAGTAATGCAGCCAATGTTGTAACTGCCAATAAAGTCACATTTGGCGGATAAACATCTGCCATGCGTCAAACATAATTTACAACGCCATACTTAATAGAGGATCTTTAAAAAACAAAGAGCAGCAAGTGACATAGTTGCTGTTTTTCAAACATTAGCAAGATATTTCCATTACTCATCAAGGGCTGTATTAAAACTGAAGAAAATTCAAATTCAACTAAAATTACCAGAGTATATAACTATTCAAGATATCTTCACCAGATGGAACTCAACATACCATATGTTTGAGAAGTTCTGAGAGTAGAAAAAGACTATTGCATTATATTTCATTACCAAAACTCAAACAGGTACAAAGAATCCTTTGGAAAATTAATGGAATTTTTATCAAATGGTGATATACATACTGAAACGCTTTGAAAAAAAACATGAGTGTAAATACTGCATGCACATCAGAGATTATATCATTTATTTATGCAATTCAAAGGTTTCTTTACTATGCTTGCAATTTCAGCAACAGCAACTTTCAAAACTTTTTATGATGAACTTAAAAAAGATTTTAACAGCCGTTCTTAAAAATACAAGGATAATGTTGATATGAAAATTACAATGATGATTAATCCTCATTTTAAATTAAAGTTGGTTAAAAAAGTAAGTACGTTAAAAGAAATATTTTATTAAGATTGCTATCGCTTTCAACATCATTCTCATTTGCAACAAGCGGAAGAAGTTGACAACGCTGATGTAGGAGGTAGTGAGTTAGACTCCGAAGGATTATGTAATACACTTCTAGGTTTTCAACTTCAAGTGCCCGCACCTGGTTATGATTGTCATAGTTTTCCTTTTAAAAATATGGTTCTAAGAAGCATAGAAATAAACAACTTTTTTCACTAAATTGATACAAATAAGAATGCCTGACGAAATTCTAAAAACACATACGGAGGGAGAAAACACTGACGGAGGGAGAAAACACTGACGGAGGGAGAAAACACAGACGGAGGAAGAAAACACTGACGGAAGGAAAAACATTTAATGAGGGAGAAAACACTGATGGAAGGAAAAAATACTGATGGAAAGAAAGAACACTGACGGAGGGAAAAAAAGAAAAAAAGGAAAAATATAATCTTAGATTTCTCTCTTAAGATTCTATTAAGTAAAAACTGTCAAATAAAAATGGTATAAACAAAACATTTTTTTTATCTGAAAATTTGTATTTTATTTATAAAATTATAAATCAAATTGATAATTGATAGATAGATTATTTACTATATTTTCAATACTTGACACATAAACAGAATTTTTAGAATAATTCTGTCAATCACTTTGTTCCACTTTCGCTCACTTCTTTAATTTTTGTTCACTTTCAAATTAATTAGTGGCTGCTTGTAGTCTTGTTGGGACTAAATTTGTTTAAAAAAATAAAAACTAAAACAAAAAAAGTACCACTTTTTCTTTCTTGCATTTGATAATTTTTATTTCCAATTACTTTGATATTTTATATTTTATAGTTTATGAGTTGAATATGTTGAATGAGTTGATTAACTGAATTCGATTAAAGATTTAAAACTTTAGTTTAAACTTTAAATTATGGGAATTAAAAAGCCAACTCAGCGCTTCCCAGTAAGCACAGATGGTTTTTAAAACGTTTAAAAAACGTTTATATTCGTTTTAACAAGTTTTTTAAACGTTTTAAATACGTCCTGAGCTAACTGGGTTGAGTAGTACTTTGGTACAAATATTGGTCAATAACGGACCCTACTTTGGGTTAGTCTTAATGACTATTTGTGGCTGTTCCTATGCTAAGCCAACAATATCTTCGGATATAAAAACATTGTATAGAAAAATATAGCATGAAAAACTCAAAAAAAAAAAAAAAAAGATGACTAATTAGAAATTAATTTTAAATACTAAATTAATTACTGATTAATAACTACCCAAATGTAAATGTTTCTAGGCGACAAATTTTTTTTTTTAAATATAGAAAAGTTAATTTTAATAAAGGAAAAATAGCCACAGAGAGAAGCTACACCCCTAAAGCCTATAAAATGGCTATATCATTTTAAAATTAGCCATTGATTTGCATGATTGTTTCTTTACAATTAGTAGTATAGTTTGATTTTAGCTGCGTAAATATAAAAGCTTCAGCAAAATCTTGATTTCCATTTATTCCTATTATTTATGGCTTCTTTTTTTATTTTTTATTACTCAAAGATAAAACTAAAACTAACTGATGGATATTAGTAAAAAAACATTTTCATATTAATGTATATACAAATATTTGTATACATACTTGCAGATAAAAGAGAATTAACATGTAAGTCATCAAACAAATAAGTCATAATCATGCAACACTGTTTTTGAGGCGCTCCTCAAATAAATTTAAATATTTTTTACAATATGTTACAACACGGTTACAATAAAATTTCCACGTGTGAAATAATCTTAAGGTAAAAATGTTTTTTTGAAGATTTGAACGGAGAAGAAGTTTATTAAATTTGATGTTGTGATTTATAAACATACAAATACTTTGTTATCAGTTTAAAATTTACTTTTTTATGATATAAAATTTACTTTTCTTTTTCACATAGCTACCTTATGTATGCCAATATTGCATGGAGCAGTACTGACAAAGTAAAGCTAGAATAGTTATACTTAAATGAAAAACATCCTTCATGGCTAGTGTACAACAAAGACAAACTCAACCTTATATGAACAAATAGAAGTACTAAATATCTTTCAAATACATATTTACCAAAATATACTTTTCCTGTTTAAATACAAACAAGATGTGGTTCTAATCTAATAAATAAGTTAAACAATTAAAAGGATTAAAAAAATTTTTTAAACTAATTTTATTCAAAAAAAAAATTGAAACCAAAACCAAAATGTAATCTATCAGTTAAAAAAAAATGGAACAATAACAACTTTTATAAAAAATGTTATTAAATTATATTTACATCATATTTAAAATTTTTGAAAACAGCTCAATAAACTAATACTTATTGATATATATATATATATATATATATATATATATATATATATATATATATATATATATATATATATATATATATATATATATATATATATATATATATATATATATATATATATCACAAGATTTACAAAAATTTAAAAGGTATGTAAATATAAAGATATATTTATCGGATCTTCATACGTTTATATTATGTTATTGTCGTATCATCTTACAATATTTAGACTTAGGCTTAAGATATCTATTTTTTTATATATATCTATACCATCAATTGGTTATTTTGGAATGGTTACTTGTTCCATTGTACTTGTAAAACATATATGAACTAAGATAAAAAAAAACAACCTTTGAATTGCTTTTATAATAAAAATATTATTTAAATAAAAAAATTGTAAAAGTCTTCAAAAAAAAAAAAGGATTGTATTTTTTATAAATACATTAAAAAAAGTTTTGCAGGGCCGACGACACGGGTTTCGAAGTGAGGGGGCACAATCTTCAATTCTTAAATAAGTCTTGTATATCTAGAATTTTTTTTTAAAAAAAAAGGTCCTTTAGAATAAAAGTTGGGGAAGGAGGGGAGGACTTGCCCCCCTGGTCCACCGGTATCGTCGGGTCTGTTTTGTAGTGAATATTTTTTATATTTAAACTAACCATCCCATTGGTCATTCACTTACCATCTCAATGGTCATCCATTTACCATCTCAATAATCAATCACTTGAATCCCAATGAAACAGATTTAAGTGTTAGAAAGATTATTTAAACTAAAACAGGTAAAAAAAAGATTTAATAATTATGAAGTCCAAAATTACATACCTTTAGTTACCAGTTAACCGCTTAAAGTTAAAGGCCGCTTTAATTGCGAATGTTCAATTGAAAGTATTATTTTAGCAAATCGTTTCACTTATTTATCTTGTTTATTCATTTATTTCAATTAATATAGTATTCAAAAACATGTTTGAGGCAGCAAGCAATCACTAAGTTATAAGTTAAAAAATAAGACAGTTATAATGCATGTAAGCAGTTGATAGAAGAACTAAAAAACAGTAAACTGTAGTCAGTTATTTTAAATATCTAAAAGTACAGATGTTCGAGCCAACAGGCTAGGTAAATAAAAAAATTCACGCATAAAAAAACAGTTACAGTATCAAGACATAAATTTTGAAATAAGATTTTTAGTTAATGGGACATGTGATGATGGATTGAGAACCAACTACAGTAATACTTGTAGAAAAGAGTAAAAAATGCCAATCAAAGAGATATAATAGCTGGATTAAAATGTTTCTTACACACCTCAATTATAGCTATAAATATCAAAGTTTTAAACAATCTTTACCTGTTTGAACCTTATCTTTGCTTGCCTGTTCAGCTCTAGGTTTGTTACATTTTTTAAGAATGTTCTTTCGGCCTGGCACTTATTAAATCCCTCCAGGCTTTTATTTTGTGTTGGAGTATTTCTGCTAGATTTAAAAGATAAAATTTTATTTTTGTAAATCCGCCAAAAACACTACCAATTTTTATCTAGACATTTATTAATTTAATTCTAATCTAGAAATTTATTATTAGTCATTCAAAATGTACGACAAAATAATAACAATAAACTAACTCTAAATATTGTTTACGAATTTTTTAAACTTCGATCTTTTATTAACTGTTTATGATGTTTTGAAACAATACCATAGGATAACTTTTGTTAAACGTGGAATGTTTAACAAAAAGTTAACTTTAAATTATGGTAGTTACGCGGTGTTTATTAGAAATTTAATATACTATGAAATCTTAATATACTAATATGTTAAGGTATCTTAGTATATCTTAGAATACAGCCGCGCAATTAGGATTTCTGAAAAGGGGTTTCCAAATATATGAATCCTTCGTTTTTACTTTGCGAAACCTAAAGCGTGCATATTTTTTTTAAAGGTTGACTAAATTTTTTTAACAATTTGCGGGTACCATGGAAACCCTCCTAATTGCGGTACTGAGTATATTAATATATTAATATAATAAGGTACTTACATAATAATTATTATAAAATATCTTTGTTGTTAATATTTCGGTTAAAAATCATTCGAGTATTAATTGAATTTATTTTTAATACGCAAGGGTGGATCCATAGCCGTTGCATGTTAAAGTTATCTTCGATATTTATTTTTAAGTTAAAAATGCAAGTTAGATCAAAGAGACAAACTGTTTAAAAATGATATGAAACTATATTAAAATTTGTGCTCTTGTCTGCCCAAATATCCCCTAAAAATCACCCCAATTAATAAATGATCAGGATCCACTAAATCAAAAAAAAAAATGTAAAATTGCCCCCACCCCTCCTCTTACCGGATAGATTTGGATCCATCCCTGGTAATACGTAAATTAAGATTTAATCATACATATTTACTTTTTTAGGTTTGGCTCAAAGGCCCTGCTGCTTTGATAGGATGGTCTTCAGTCATAGTTATTGTTTACTCAGTAACTGATACTCGAAGTTTTAGTTTGGCAAAGTACATTCTTAATAAAATTAATATATGCAAAAAAATAGACAAATCTTCAATTTTATTGCTTGGTAATAAAAATGATTTGGCTCATCTAAGAGAGATATCGCTTAATCAAGGAATGAAGTTAGCTCAAAAAAACGGAACTCATTTTGCAGAAACGTCTGCTGCAAATGATTACGAAAGTGTAGACAAAGCTTTTAAAAAGCTTTTATTTATGAAAGTACTTGCGGTTTCAAAAATACAGACTATAGAGCCTGTAGCGTTTACACGGAAACTTTCGCTAAATGGTAGCAATTTATCTAAAAAAAAAAAATCAAAATGTCTTCGAAGAATCTCAGTAAGCTCTAATTGTCCGTCACAAGAATCAATATCATCTTTATCGGACAATGAAATATTTGAAGTTATAAAGACGCTAAATAAAACTTCGTTGTGCAAGCAAAACGAATTGATTAGCGTAAAAAGCAAAAAAGTAAAATAATTCCAATATTGAGAGTGGGAGAATTGATTTCTCACAAATTGTAAATATATAATTGTAAATATAGATAAAAATTAATTTGTTTATGCCAAATAAAAATTTTTTTGCCGAAAATTATAGTGATTGGAGCCTTGAGATAAAATACCCCAAAATGTTTGCTGTCTTTTGCCAAAATAAGAGGCAATGAAAAGGCGCCTTTAATGAGGTAGTACATTTCCATTTTTGCTTTTGTGGTTGATGAATTGAATGCTCAAAAATGAATGCATAATTTATATATTTCTTCCCTAAGACTTCTTTGAATAATTCCTTTTCTACCTTCAACTGATTCTTTCTGCTCAAAAGTTTTGATAAAAAAATTCTATTTTTGATTTCTAAGTATTTAAGATAATTTTTTTTTTTTTTGTAACATAAAACACTTTATCCAAAATTAAAACGAAAAATAAAGAGAGGTAAAAAACACAAAAACAAAGCTTTTTTATAGACAGATCAAATCAGTTTAATTCATCGTTGGTTTTACTGAACATACATTACAGCTTTAAAAAGAAGCATTACTTGTTTGTACATTAACAACTTTTCCATCAATTTAGTCAAATTCAACCATACTTTTTATCTTAGGTAACTTATTTGTTTCTAATCATACTTTAGTTCCCCAGGAAAAAAGGTTATATAGAATTTTCCATAAACTTTTGAAACATATGGCCTATAGAAATTCTATAGAATTCTATTGAATTTCTTTAGAATTTCTGTTAACTTTTATAAAAGTTTCTATCGAAATTTTTTTTTCTACTTTTTTTTTATAAAGTTTTATAGCAATTTCTATAGAAATTAATAGACATTCTATAGAATTTCTATAAAGTTTCTATAAGCCATATGTTTCAAAAGGTTATAAAAAATTCTATAAAACTTTTTTTTCCTGGGTCCTTGCACCATTAAAATAATAATCATTAATGTGCACGATTCTACAATGATTGGTATCTCTAACTAACAATTCAGAAAACATAAGGTTGCAACTCTTTATATATTTTTGAAAAAATGCATTTAAAAAAAAAAAGTTATATTATCTATGGTGACTATGATGATACGTACAAAGAAATTTACAGAACTTAAGTAGTGGATTTTTCTTAAAAGACGTTTGAATCATGATACAAACGTCATGATGCGGATTCCACCAATATTAACAAATTGTTGCAAGTGCAATATAAATTAGTTTTCCTAATCTGGTCAATTATAATTCGTTGTTATTAAAAGCAATTTTAATTAACTTTTTCATAAATAGTTTCGATTATAATAGTCCATTTGAGGCGAGTCATGCAAAAAGGTACCAAGTCTTCAAAAACTAGTTTAAGAAATAATAATCAGTTTAAGTGATAATAATCAACCTTATAGGAACTACTTTATAAATAAGAAATTTTTTTTTGGTGTTAGAGTATATGTGTATTTCTAAAAATAGATGTTTTTCTAAAAATACGGAAAGGTAGCAAGTTGTTGTTTTTCAATTTTTTAGACCTTTGTTTATAAAATATTTGCTAAAGTTTTATAAAATATACAGAATTTAAAAAAAAAGGCAGGCATAACACTTAGGGGTTGCCAATAAATTAAGCATCATTAAATTTAGTTAACAAACAAAACGGAAAATATCTAAAGTTTTCCTTCGCAGAGTATGTAGTTAACTAAAAATACAAAAACACTTTAAATTGAATGAATATCACGGCGCTAAAGTGCAAAAAATCTCTTTCTTTGATTTAAAATGCGGCTGTGGCACATGTTTATTAGAAAAGTATATAAGCAGGAGATCCAGGTTCGAAACGAGCTTTGGACGTCACGGTAAGGAAGAAGGCGTGAACTTCCTGGTTAAATGCACTTCCGCGGTGCTCTGTGACAAGACCGTTAGGATTTCTTGGGGCTAAAAATTAAAAAAAAAAATCTCTTACTTTGATTTATTAAAATTTTAGAAAAAAAATAAACTTTAGAAACATGTTCCAAAATGTTTCAATCAAATCATTTAGATCTGGTAGTAATTGAAACTAAGGTTTTTGACCTAATCACTTGCTACAATTTCCTGCTTCGCAGGAAAGATACCAAGTGGTTAGGTTAATCGTAATATTTCCCGGAAATATTATGATTAACCTAAATGTGAAGTAAACATTCTTCTGAAAATTCTATACAGACATTTTTAGAAAAACTAAATTGGAAGTAAGAGTTAATCCTAATAGTCGAAGGGTAGATGTATACATCAATGTACATTACCGTTCATAAATAAAGATCTAGTATTTTGCGATAACAGTTAGTTGAAAAAATATTGAGTTTATCTGAGTTAGAGTTTACCAACTGTAGCAAAAGTGAAATCTTTTTCAAGCTCGAACGCCCCCTTCAAGTAATCGGGAAGTGTTGACTTTTTATACAGACAAAAATAAATGGTAGTATCATCAGCAAACAATGGGACCTTAGATGTGAGAATTTCTAGAAGATTGTTAATGTAAATTAAAAAATATCGGGCCAAGGATAGAACCCCTGAAGTTACAGAAAATAAATAAAGAGTGTTGGTCATCAAGGAAAACTTTTATACTACGACTGGTAAGGAAAGATTCAATAATCTTAAAGATGTTGCGTGATACACCGTAAAGGAAGAGCTTATGGAAAAGACCAGCATGCCAAACTTTATCAATCGTTTTAGAAATGTCGAGAGTGATAGACTTCTCTCCATCTATCTAATGCATAATAAAATCTTTTATTTATTACTGTTAACAAATCAGCAGTAGAACGAGAAGATTGAAATCTAAATTGATGATCAGAAAGTAAGTTATTAGATTCGAGATGAGATATTAAGTGTTTGTTAAAGACTCAAAAACCTTGCTTATTATAGAGAGAAGATTAATGGGATGGTGTCAGACAATTCAGATTGCTCTCCAAAATTTTTAAAAAAAGAAATAACTGATGTTGCTTTCCAGCAGGCTGAAAAACATAACTCTGATAAGCACTTTTTAATTAGTTTTAAAAGTATAGACGACAGCAACGGAGAACATTTCTGCAAAATTATAACATCTCCAGAAGTCTCTGAAGCATAATTTTTTGGATGAAATACGAGATTTAGTGACCTGAGAATAGGAGGCTTTAGCATTTGAAAAAACCTTTTTACCGTGGTTTTTAGCAATAGTTAACAGACGTTCGTTTACTGGAGAATTGCTTTGATAATATGGTAAGTAATGGTTACAATAAGAATTGTTTTAGATATGATAAGTAATGGTTACAATTTGAAATTGCAGCTGCAAAATGAAACAAAAAGCATGAAGAAAAGTAAGGCTTGACTTGAAATTACCATGAGAAAATTAAAGATGCCAGCCTGATATTACATAACAAGTTACATAATAAGTACATTTGTCAGCGGGAAGACGAAAGATTTTTTACCAAAGGGCCATCACAAAAAAAATCACAAAAAAAGTCCGAGTCAACTTTAAGGTTTGGTTCAATTTATCTGGAAAGTGAGTTGTAGTTTTGTGATAAAGATTGAGAAAAGTAAAAGTTTTAGGCCTTAACGCCTATAGAGTCACTGATACTAGAGCCAAGCCATTCAGTGTGATGAACATTAAAGTCACCAACAACAACATTATTAGCTAAACTATAAAGAATGGTCTTAGTCAATTTAATTAAAAATAATATCAAAAAGAGTGCAGTCTTGATATGAATGAGAGCGATATAGAACAAGAAGAAAGGTGATAGAGTGAATTGGTGCTAAACAAAAGCACATAAAAGAATAATCTGTGGATTCAAACCTAGTTTCCAGACAAATGGGTAAATGTTTACAAAAGTAAATGCCCAGACTAAGCATGTGTCTATTGGAGTCTTTAAGAATTAAAGAAAGATAAGCATCAACACTAAAATCACAAGATAAAACAGCTGAACTTAAATTAGTCTCACAAAAAGCAAGTAGGTTTAGTGAACTTTGCAAGAGATAAGACTCAACAGAAGAAAAGTTACTTCAAAGACAACGAATATTAGTGAATGATAGATTTAGAGAACTTGGTGATGACGATGTTTTTTTGTGTTTTAAAGTTTTTGGTACTTTAGATTTAGTTATTGGTGTTAAGTCAGAGTTGGCTTCTGCTAACCTTTGCCTAAATAAATGTGTCCTACAAAGCAGGAAATGAAGCAGATTGTACTGGGTTAAATGTAACCACTAGCAGGATAACCTGACCTTAGATACAAAGCTTGAAAAACGTTGTCTGAAATCTTATCTCCTGTGAATATAGGCAAGTTTTCAACAGTTAGAAAACATGTAGCTCTAAAACAAATTCTGAATTAGATACAGAAGAACTAAACGTTTACAATCCAAAATGAATGTTTGAGTACGTGTGAATAATTCACTCAATTTGTCAAACTTTTAGATCTAAAATAATGCACTATCATCTCATTAGCGAATCTTATGACTTTTTAAGAATTAAAAATGATTTTGTGAGCAAGATTGTCCTAGCATGAAAATATTGATAAAAATTAAAGTCATCATCTTTAAAAAAACCTTTTTGAATTTGAACAATTTAGATTGAAGAGTATCATACCATAAACCAAACAGAGAAAGGCAAGATATTTCTCAACAAGTCAAGCTAGCTAGAGATATTTGTGGCCAGCAACCAGCTGAAATACATAGAACTTAATCATCGTGTACAATTCCCATATGAATAACTTAATCTACAATATAGTACAATATCCGCTTTCTTTTTAATATCTTAAAACTTAGTTAAGTTAGAAAGATATTATAAAGAAAGCGGATATTGTACTAGATGTATGAATATGAAATTAAGAAATAACTTTTTACTTATATTGATAAAAAAAAAAAAAAAAAATCTCGAAGCGATCAAAGCAAATAACATTTGTTTTATACATCGTATTGTTAGTTGTATGATTTTCTTGAAGTTCAATAACCCTTTTCATAACAAATTTCAAATGCTTTTTTTTGTTTCAAAAGGGAATTAAGAAATAAAAAAAACTATTTAAGTTTCCAGGAATTTAATTTTTAAAATTTTGTTAATGTTTTTACTTATATTTGCTACTTGTTTAGTTGCAATTTTCTTCTCTAACAAAAATTTTGATT